TGTGATTCCAGGACATTACAATTATCATCAATATGAGTCAGTTGCCAAGCATCTGAATTTTGATCATATGACCATGGGAATGCTGCTGTCAACGCTGCTAACATTGGATGTTCTTGCTTTGACAACATATGAAGATGCAGCCTTTTTCTTTCTTATGCTTTACTCTTAGAATTAGATGATGCTGTGGGAGGAGGCAGAATGTAGTGGGAGTTAGTTAGACATAACAATATTGTACTAGTTATCATCAGCGCAACAACCTAAATCAATAGCTTCACCCTCTTCTTTGGCACAGTCAATAATGGTGAAGGATTTGCAAGACATGATGGGAAATGTTATATCTCAAATTAGGGGAGAAATGAAAGAGATTTTAGAGGAAAATAATAAGATTTTGAGGCAAGAGATAGTTTTGGCTTTAAAAGGAGTTGCCTCTGTTCTTGAAAAGCTGAACTCTCGCGTAGAAGAGATAAAAGAAAAAGTGGAACTGATGGAGGGAAAATTTGAAAGCATGGAAAAAGAGATGGAAAATTTTCAAGATGAGATTCTTATGCTTCAATATAGACAAATGGAATATGCTTTAAGAATTAGAGGCTTGAGAGAGTCTGTGCAAGGAGATCTGAGAGAGATGGTTGCAAATGACTTTGCTGTGATTTTGAATAGAGAAAAAGAGGAAATACTTAGTGAAATTGAAAAAACATTTAGAGTTAACTCTGTGGTGGCAGAGCAAAAGAATTTGCCAAGAGATGTGGTAATTTACTTTGGGAAAAGATCCCTGTGCAACGAAATTATACAAGCTTTTTATAAGAAGAGGTTTCAAATTGCTTCACAAGATGTTATAATTTTAAAGGAGATCCCATCTAAAATTTTAAGAAGAAGAAAGGAGTTTGCTTTTTTAGTAGATGAACTTAAAAAGAGGCGAATCTTGTTCAGATGGGATGTTCCGACTGGAATGGTGGTGAGTTACCTGGGGATACGTTATAGACTTAATACTGTTTCTAAAGCAAAAGACTTCTACACTTCGGTCCTGGGGGTATGTTCATCGCCATCTATTACGTTTAAAGCTTCGGAAGAGAAGAAGGTAGAATTGCAGTCTGAAGAGCCTATACTTATGAAAATTGGGAAATCTCAGTTCAAGGGGCCTCAACAAGTTGAGATGGAGGAGCAGAGGATAACCTGTGCAACATATAATTGTAAAGAAAAGGAGCAACAGAAGAAGGAGGTTAAGGAAGCCTCACAAGTATTGGTTTCTGAATCTGCGGGAGAAGTAAGATTTATAAATTTTTTGGAGCAACCTTTAAGGGTAGAATTGCAGTCTGAAGAACCTATATTAATGAAAAATGGGAAATCTCAGTTCGAGGGGCCTCAATAAGTTGAGATGAAGGAGCAGAGGACAACCCGTGCAACACATAAACGTAAAGAAAAGGAGCAACAGAAGAAGGAGGTTAAGGAAGCCTCACAAGTATTGGTTCCTGAGTTTGTGGGAGAAGCAAGATTTATAAACTTTTTGGAGCAACCTTTAAGGGCAGATTTTAAAGCACTTCTTTCGAGGTTTATGGATAAGAGAGACTGATAAGGAATGTGTTTATTGTGGGTGGAATTGGTTATTGGTAAAGATTTAAATATGTATAAGGGAATTTTAATGTTTTAAGTAATGTTTAAATTTGTGTTTTGGAGGGAGTTTATAAAGAATGATGGATAATAATATAAGTATGATATTAGAAAATGTTTAGAGTATATTATAACGTGTTTAATGATTGTAATTATTATTTTTAAGAGAAGATAACTTGTTTAATTTAATGTATTTAGATTTGCTTAGGATTTATATGTGTTTCAAGTTTTTTTGAAAATTTTTAACTAAGCCTGTACTCAGCTCTGAGAAGGTTGGGGGAGGGTATGGGAGGTTTGGGGAGGTGGGGGAGGGTATGGGAGGGTTGGGGGGGGTTGGGGAAGGGAATTGTTTTGTAAAATTTGAAAATTTTCAATAAAAAAAAATATTGTACTAGTGTGTGAATTCAGAGCTTGAAATAAGAGATGATAAGAATTGGTGGGTTAGAGAACAGGAGGGAAAGCCTGCAATTCAAACTAATTGGAGAATGTGATTTATGACTTTTAATTGGAGGAGGGAATTGTGCTTTGATACTATATACTTAGGGGAGGGGAATTCAGATTTCAGCTTTGACCATGTATGTGCCAATGCCATGCAACCTGAATAAAGATTCTTTAAGGTAAACAATGCCTCGAAGTTCATCTGTCGGAACCATGACAGCTGCAATGGTCATAAGTGTGAAAAGCAGTCATAAATCACTTTTTCAGTACTGTTGTAACTTTAAACAGTCATTAAATGAATTTTTGTAAGTCAAGGGCTATCTGTAATGAATTTCAAAATGTTATGTCAAATTCATCTGTCTCCTTAATAGCAATAGCAATAGCACTTAGACTTATATACCACTTCACAGTGCTTTACAGCCCTCTCTAAGCTGTTTACAAAGTCAGCATTTTGGCCCCAACAATCAGGGTCCTTGTTGTACCGACCTCGGAAGGATGGAAGGCTGAGTCAACCTCGAGCCAGTGAGAATCAAACTGCCAAAATGCTGGCAGCTGGGAGTCAGCAGAAGTAGCCTGCAGTACTGCATTCTAACCACTGCACCACCAGGGCTCTTAATCCCTTTATAACTTTCCAGAATCAACATTCTAATTACCTTTATGGTGTCTATTCCAAAATATATACTTAAAGTCCTTATGTCAAGTTTCGAGGCACGGTTTTGCTGGTACGACAAATATTCCTTCTCGGTTTGCCAACGAACTGGGGGGGGGAGAGTGGAGACGTTTGGAATGCAGGCTTCAAAGATTAAGAAGCCACACCATGAGACTCAAGGACATTACACCAGATATCTGGCCAGACCTAGAGAAGCTTTCTCATAACAATATTTTTCTACTTGATTGGGCAATGTGACCTGACCCAGAGGCACGAGGGAGAATTCAGTGCTTTTACTATATGGGTTTGGGAGGGGTCTTGCCAGAGGTGGTTTTGCTTTCATTAGTGCCAAAGTGATGTACCGTATATGCCGGCATATAAGACGACTTCCGTGAGCGCTGAAATCGGTGCCAAAGACGGGGGTCGTCTTATACACCGAGACGTCTTATACACCGGAAATACTGGTAGTTTCCGGCGTATAAGACGACGTTCTAGGAATGCGGCGCGGCTATAAAGACGGGGGTCGTCTTATACGCCGGGTCGCCTAATACGGCAGCATATACGGTACTCAATAAAGTTTTACAATAAGAGATCAGCATGTCTCAAAGGTGTTTGCTTGGCTGGGTTCATCAGTCAGAACCTTGATAACTTAAACTTACACAAACCTTATTTCTCAAAGATAGAAGGAAATTCACTTGGTGAATTGAAATTTACCATTTGCAGGTTTTTAGTATCCATAAAATCATTAAGCAATTTCCAGGTGTGATTAACAAAGGAAATCCTATTTCTATAAATGTGTCAGTTACAGTTTGGGCATAGAAGCCAAGGCAATTCCTTGATTCCTGCTGTTTTATGATCTCCTTGTGGGGAACTTCATTCTGGAGCATGTGTGGGGGATCCCAAGTCCTCTCCTTGTCCAGAGAGGAATTCTAAAAAGCTGATCCAGAAATTTGCGAAATATATCTCTAATATATTGAAATTATATTGTTCTAAATTATAAGGAAACATTATTTACGATATGCTCATATTTGGTATTTTATTGCACCAAGAAATCATTCCCGGCCAGAACAAAGTTGTGACAACATATGAAACAGGTGTGAATAAATCCAAATGTGTGAGTTTTCTGAATAATGAGCCTTAATGTGGCAGGACAGTGTACAGAATAATGGAGGTTGACCTTGACAGAAATATGTAAGAACCATTTTCAAGCCAAAGAGGGCTGAAATGTTCTTTAAATTCTGGGAAGCAAGATAATATTCAGAATCAGCTGAGGCAAACAAGTGCCTCATTCACTGGGGTATAAGAAGGAAGGCAGAGTATACACTACGATCAGCAAGCTTCTGTTATTATTATTATTTCTTGTTGTTAATTGTGAAGTCGTGTCTGACCCAACGCGACCCCATGGACAACGTTCCTCCAGGCCTTCCTGTACCATCTTCTGGAGTCCATTTAAGCTCACGCCTACTGCTTCAGTGACTCCATCCAGCCATTGAATTCTCTGTCATCCCATTCTTGTATTGCTCTCAATCTTTCTCAGCATTAGGCTTTTCTCCAGTGAGTCCTTCCTTCTCATTACATGGCCAAAGTATTTGAGTTTCAACTTCAGGATCTGGCCTTCCAAAGAGCAGCCAGGGTTATTATAGCCTATCTCTATTCTGGAAGTTAGAGTCCACAACTCTTAAAATGGCCAAGGTTGAGAAACACTTTCCTACCTCAATAAAGTATAGCTCCAGTCTTCCTGTGGAGTTGATTTGCTGATAATGGTCTACTCAGAGGAGCTGAGTAGAAAATGGAATGAGTCTTGTTCAAAGAACAGATCAGTTTACCCCTAAATATAACCTGGGCAAAATGAGTCAAAATATACTCAATGGGTTAATGAGGGGTCATTAGTTGTGTAAGCCTTTAGGTTTTGTGATTGGACTGAAGAATAACAGAATAAAAGACTTGAAAGAGACCTTGGAGGTCTTCTAGTTCAACCCCCTGCTCAGTCAAGGGACTTTATACCATTCTGGACAAATGACTGTCCAACCTCTTCTTAACACCTCCAGTGATGAACCACCCACAACTTCTCAGCCAAGCCATTCCACTGATTAAATATTCTGTCAGGAAATTTCTCCTTAGTTCTAGATTGGTCCTCTCCTTGATTAGTTTCCATGTGTTGCTTCTTGTTCTGCCTTCAGGGGCTTGGGAGAATAGGTCAACCCCATGTCCTTTCCTAGAGGTGCTGAACTATAATTCCCAGAATCCTCATTCAGAGTGATCAAGGCCATCTGGCCACAAACGTAAAGCAAATCAAAGAGGAAGGCAATTTTAGAATTGAACAATTTATTTAGAAAGTACCCTCTCCTTTTTTCTGTCAGTATATTGGACTTTGTTAAACATTGCCCCTGTCAAATAATGCAGAATGGTGAAACATTCTGGGGAAAACAAATCTCGTAAGGAATAGAGGTGATGGGATTTTGGGGGTATTGTTGTCAAATGCTATGCATTTTCTCTTTAAAAGAATAAAAAGGAAGAATTTGGACTTTAGGACTAATATAACTTCTGATCAACTTTTTTCTCGTTCCTTGGCTGAACAGAGAGAGGGACAGGAACATGTTAAGTGAGCATCAGAACCTGCATTTGTATAAGCAGAAAGGCACAAATACAAAGCCCCTTTCTTATAACAACCATGGGTGATCACAACACTTGGCAAAGACTGTAATGTGTCAGGGTAAACCCTTTTGGGATTCAAGTTTTGAGTTCAGATTTGGAAAACGGGTTTGCACCAACTGGGTGGTTTCTCAATGCTCTCTAGTATGGCTGGTCTACAGCTGGAAGTGAAGTGCTTTTCCTGGACAACCTTCCACAGGGGGTGTGTCATGATCTGATATATCTGTTGGGAGTTCTTTCTTGACAAAAGCAACTGGGACTTCCGCCACATGTTCATGAGACTCGTGTGAGGTGCTTGTATGATTGTGTGAATGGGTGAGGTTGAGGACAGTATTTCTGAATTCTGGTGGAACATTATATTTTTCAATCTGCTTGTAGAGCAAATGGGAGTAAGCGTATCCCTCCTGGAAAAAAAAACACAAAACGTGCAAGCACTGATGAGTCTTCTTCGGCCATTGAACCTGAAGCTTATCCTGCTTTGAACTTTCGAACACATTAAAATCCAGCTTGACAAAAGTGAATCAAGAAAACCAACTGCTGTTAATATTGTCAATACAGGTAGTCCTCGACTTATAATCATTCATTTAGTGACCCTTTGAAATTGCAACCGCCCTGAAAAAAGCAACCTGTGACCGTTTTTCACACTTACGACCATTGTAGCATCCCCATGGTCACATGATCAAAATTCAAATGCTTTGCAGTCAGAATCTATTTATGACGGTTGCCGTGTCCTGGGGTCTTGTGATCCCCTTTTGCAGCCTTCTGACAAGCAAAGTCAATGGGGAAACCGGATTCACTTAACAACCGTGTTACTAATTTAACAACGGCAGTGATTCACTTAACAACTGTGGCAAAAAGGGTTTAAAATGGAGAAAAAAATCACTTAACAACAGTCTCGCTTAGCAATAAAAATGGGGTTATGGTCTTAAATTGAGGATTTGCTGGCATAATGTGTTATAACCACACTTTGTTGAATGAATAGCCTGGCAATTAAAGGGCCAGAGTTGGACTGGGGTGATCTAGATTCAAACCCTTCCTGGCTAGATAAATTTCTGGGTAGCTCTGAGCCAGTTATTCTGTCTCAGCCCAACCTACAATCCAAACTGGTGAGGGTAAAATAATAATCTCAGAGAAAAAGAAGTATAGAAATAAAATAATCTAGTGTTAACAAATCATAAAGGTTGCATTATGCTAAGCCAGGATCGAACAGACTTTAGTATATATCAGAGCATCTACTCATGTGAAGGGATGCAGGGGAATCGATAGCTGGAACAGGAAGTTAATTATGAGCTTCTTGGATGGTCAGAATGGATAAGAGAAACCAAGAGATAGGTGAACTTCAACTCCCAGAATTCCCCAGCCAGCCTGTTGATGAGGTTGACAAACACTGCTGTGGAGAACGGGGAAAGAGTATGAACAAAATTGCATTTAACGTACATACCTTGACATGAAGGATGACACAGTCTGACTCAAACTTTTCATCTTTAGGTTTTTCCAGGCTAGCATGCGACCTGAAAACAGTTGCTCTGCAGAATCCAATATGCTGGAGAAAAGGAGGGAGAGAAGAAAGAACTAATATATTTCCAGGGGAACCCAAATAAATCCTTCTTCACATGTCAGCAAACCTGAAATGGTGAAAGGACTGCTATGCAGGGGAGAAGATAAAGCTACTACTGAATGAAAGAATCTGGTCAGGTTACAACTCAATTTCTTAAAGTAAATCGGCGTTATATTCTTCTACAGATGTTGGCAGGAGGTCTTGGGGAGGCATTATTTCTGGATGAATTGTGAAGAAATTAAGGTTGTGCAGAGGTTAAAGTGTAGGATTTGGGCTGGTGAGAGCCAGATTCAAGTCTCAATTTCTCTGTGTGGAATATTTGGCCTTGCACACTTATTTGGAAAGTGGTCGGGGTTGGCTAGGATAGATAAGAGAGAGAAAAATGGGAACTGCCCAGATAGGATTGGAGTTGACCCTCCCACTTACGTCTTCTCCTGCTGTATTAGGATGGCAGTGATGATGGTCATCGTGGGCTTCCTCAGCAGTGCAGTTAACCTCCACAATAGCAAACTCCACATAGAAAGCTTCAGGCTCATACTGAAATCAAAGCAAGAGACGTTTTAGCTGGGTTTATATTTTATAAATAAAACGTCAATGAATCCTTGTTCACTACAGTCAGAAGCTTGGAACATAAATTTTAAAAAATTGGCTACCGCTCCTGGTTCTTGAAAAGTTGCCTCTCCCTTTTTTTCTTAGCAGCTGGTTCTTTGCGGGATCTTGGTGCTTGCTGAGCTTGGTTGTTTTCCTGCAGACATTTCACTACCCACACTAGGTAACGTCATCCATTCTGGTCGATCATCGGTCTAGCACTGATGATGTGACCTAGTTTGGTTACTAAAATGTCTGCAAGAAAGCGACGAAGCTCAGAGAGCACAAAGGACTCCTCATTTCAATCCCGAGCAACAAATATTCTCCTTTGTGGGTATCTGGTTCTTTTCCTAGACTTTTTGCAGAGCATAATTCCTCCTGTCTCCTCCTCCTTTTTCTTAGTTATATGAAGTATCACAACGTTAAACTGGAAGAGATCAACAGAATTCCTTTTTAACATCTGCACACTTACTTTGTGCTGCCCTCTTGAAATCTCAAGAACTTCGTAAACGTGGCCGGAAAGTTTTTCATTGTGTTTATTAAGCACATATTCAACAGAGTCTACCACGTGAGAGTCATTCCAAGGCAACAGAATTGGACATTTAGGACAATTTCGCCGTACGTTTTCGACAGAATCTGGAAAGAAAAAGAAATATCAAGAAGGGTGTTTAAAGCAGATGGCAATCTTAGGTGAGAACTGCTGCAAAAGAGCAGGAGACCCTACACCATTTCAGGCAAACGGCTGTCCCATCTCTTCTTAAAAGCTTCCAGTGTTGGAGCACCCACAACTTCTGATTCATTATCCTAACGGTCAGGAAATTTCAAGCAGCAGGTTAAAAAAAAGTTGGACAGCAGGTTAAAGTTACGGCTTTTGCAATGGGAGAGCATAAGTACAGGTAGTCATTGACGTATGACCACAATTGTGCCTGAAATTTCTGTTGCTAAACGGAACATTTGTTAAGTGAATATCCCCATTTTACGACCTTTCTTGCCACAGTTGTTAAGTGAATCACTACCGTTCCTAAATTAATCTCACTGTTGTTAAGTGAAACCCTGAAAAAAGGGTCTTAATGACTGTTTTTCACACTTATGGCCATTGCAGCATCCCCATGGTCACTTGACAACCGCCCCATATATAGGACGATTGCAGTGTCCTTGGATCAGGTGATCACTTTTTGTGACCTTCTGACAAGCAGTGTCCATGGGGAAGCCAGATTCATGCAGCAACCATGTTAGTAGCTGAACAACTGCAGTGATTCACTAAACAACTGTCAATAAAGGTTGTAAAGAACGGACAAAATTCACTTAGCAACTGTCCTGCTTAGCAACAGATTGTTTGGGCTCAATTCTAGGGGTTAGGTTGAGGATTGTAGCTATGTCTTGGTAAACTCCAGACCATTCCCTAGCATCTAATTGATTTGAATTGTCAATTTGATTGAAATCCATCATTTCAAAGGATTGAAAACAGCATTTTAATTTGTATTGCTAATCAGATTGAGAAAAAAAGGTTTTGTAGATGCAAAATAAACGGTTTGGAAGCATCCAATTCAGTAATCCACTCCATCTCATTAGATTGACTTGAATTGCCTTACAACTGAATTAAAGCAATGCATGCTTTGGATGAAACATCTCAGGATGCTGCTAAGATGCTGCTGAATTTTGAAGAAAGGCTGTGTGTGTAACTCACTGTCATAAAAAGTTAATAAAAAGGGATAGGAAAAGGGAATAAGCCTATGGTTAGCTCAGTGACACCTTAGTTTCTTGAACCCAGCCAAACTAAGATCCAAGAGGCACGAAGATGAATTACCTGGAGTGGAGTGGCATTTCACAAAAACATCTTGTTTGAAAGTCACAACATCAAACATTATCTTGGCATTACAGTCCATTTTAACAGCCTGGAAATACAAAAGCAGCAAATGAAACATGTTAAACTTTAACTTAACATAATTTAGCTAACCATTTTAGGTTGGTGTTTTAAAACTGGTGCTTCTGGGGAATTTTAGCATCAGTAGGATTTATTTATGTCCATTACAACATATCTCATGTTTTTAACAGGTAGGAGGTTATTAAACTGAGCACTGTGCACTAGTAACTTGGGTAGACTAATTTGTGAGGCAGCCATCATTATGGTAGGTAATGCACGGTGGTGGAATGTTGTCTGGATTCCCAGGAGGGAGGGGTTGCATTCCAGAGGAGCAAGAGACAGCAAAGTTTACACAGTTTGGTTGGGAAGAAGAGGATCAAGACAGCTCCTCCCTAGACGTTCTGAGTATAAATTTAAGGACACACACAGTTTGCTTTAGTTTGGCATGATTTCTGTCTATAGGTAAAGAACAATAAGGGGAAATTGCTTTGCTGTAACTTAGCAGGTCTTTCTTGGTTTTCAGCCTGACATGCCTACTTTCTTCCAAATCATCTTATTGGTGTCTTTGGAGAAACATTTCCACGTGCTGTAATATGAGAACTTCTACTTGGCCAGTTCAATATTGACAAAAATTGGGCAGTAACCTATAAACCTGGGATGACCAACCTTGGACATAACTGGCTGGGGAATTCTGGGAGTTGAGGTCCACAGGTCTTCAAGCTGCTAAGGTTGTATCCCTCCTCTTTTAAACAGAGGAGCAATAAGGAACTTTTCATGGATTCCGGGATGGGAAGGAGTCAGCTTTGGACATCACAGGATGAACGTGAAAGAAGAATTGACTTCTTAATTCCTGACTAATTCATTGCTCAGAGTTGAAATGAAATCCGGCTATGAAATGTGAACTCAAAATGAATGCCCATGGAACGTTAGCGACCCCTAAGGTTTCATTAATCCTTTGTACACCAATATACCAGATATTCAATTTACTCTTAGTGCAGTGGTAAGAGGCCACCTGTCCTCCCATGGAATTTTACATTTTTAACAACTCTCAGTCACTTACATGATTATTCTGTGGCCTTATAGTACAATTCTCGACAGGATGGGGATCCAACATGTGACATTCTGTCTCCAGAAGATTTAATTTAAGGTAGACTGCCACCAAATCGCCATCCTAAAACAAAAAATTAGGATGAGAATGACTTTTCTCACTGCATTTGAATGTTTGAATTGACACGTAAGTTAAAGACCTCGTCCTGGTGTGCTTCTCAGTTATCAACTGCTTTGAAGAAAATACACCCAGCAGGAAATTTCAATGCTGCCTTAAGTTAGACACAGTTCCTTTGGATGTTGCAAGGCAGACAAAACTGACATTTCTTGACATGAACATCTGATCTGCTCTGCCTGTGATTTGAGGTTTTCTTGCAGACCTCAGTTAATTTCCCAGTTGTTGGTTTTGGCCAGGTGTGGGTAGAAAAAATTGCCTCTTTCTGACATTGCATTGTTCACATATGTGCATATTGTCTATTCAACCACCAGCATTTTAGCTCCAAAAATGGCATCAGGTAGTCCTGGCTGGTCTACCTACAAATACATAGGACAACTGTTTGCAACAGGGGTCTAATGAAGATTGGATGGTTGGGAGAGAGCTAACATTTTTCTCAGTTGGGGAGTTCACACAACGCTTAACCCAGTTGCAGAATTAACCATTTCTTGTATTTCTATTACACATCGAACCATTAAATAACCCAAGGGGCTGGGCTGACAAACCAAATCTAACCAGTCCTCATACCAAATTCTGCATAACCAAATGAAATCACAAAAAGCTTTTCTGAGCTGGTTAAGCATGTTGTCTGTATGGTGCAGATCACAAGCTGACCATCCTCTCTTTCTAAGGACCTGACAGCTGAAGAAGCAGCAGTCAGAAGTATAAGCATTCATTGGGATGGGGGCATTGTGTGTCACTATCAGCAAAATGGTAGAAGGAGCAACAGAACTCAAACCCTGCTTCTTTTGTGATTCATTGTGTGACCAGGAAAAGGGTGTGGTTTACAGTGTAACTATACATCCAGCATCTGAATAGTGCCAGAACTGTCTATTACAAAGATGTGGGAACTTCTAGGACTGTCAGAAAGGAATTTGTTGGTCTTAGCTTAGCATAAGGATCTAGTTTCCTGCCAATCCTGGACCAGGCACCCCATTCTGGGCTGCTGAAGGAACAATAGAATTAACAAAATATAATCAGTGGATGACTCTGGTGAAGAAACAACTGGATGGCCATGTCATATCTGTACCAGCCCTGGCCTAAGACATGTTTTTTAAATGGAAATCTAGAAATATTTCCTTTTAAATAACCAAAATAGAAAATTGGAGCCTTGGCAGGACATCCATCTTCTCAGAGAATATACTGCTGGTCTCACTAAAAATTGGAGAGGGAAGGATAAGAAAGAAGGAGACTGTACAAAACGGAATGGCTGGAGAAAAAAGTTGGACAGAGAAGTTCAGTGTACAAAACAGTTGTCAGTTCCCGGTAGGGGAAGGAGAAGAAAAATATTGTAGTTTCCTTGCAGACATTTCATTACCTGAACGAAGATAATGACCCAGGTAAGATCATCAGTGCACCAAGGATTTCACAGTTGAATGCTGATCTACCTGTATTCTCTTCTGCTAGAAAAAAAAGTTCAGAGATAACTTCCCTGAAAGAAGGAAAATGAAGACCCAGAAAAGGAACATCTTCACCCAAAATGGAGGAGACCAGCTGGCTGCAGATAGTATCGTCATGCAGTACCCAAGAGGGTGTGGAGGAGATCGTTGGTCACTGGAAAAGCCTTAGTCTTTGGGGAAGGATGGGGCAGAAGGCCCCGAGAAAGGTTCTCCCCCAGTAGAGAAGCAGTAGATGTTCTGCTGAGCAGATCCAGGAGAAAGTCAAACTGTGCTGAGTGCACTACTGTTAAAATCCAGCCCATTCCTTTCTTTTCACTCTCTCTGGACAAGCTGAGAAGTGAGGGAAGGAGACAGAGTGAAAGCAGGAGGAAGCAGGAGAACTAAAGGGGAAGAGGAAAACCTGACACCAGGTGAAAACTGGGCTTGCATTGTATGCTTCAGTTGTAATCCCAAAAGTGCTTTCCCAAAAGGCATCTGGACTGTCTTGTTTTTTTTTTTTTTCCTTGAAAATATTTCACTTCTAATCCAGAAAGCTGAAAAAGCTTCTTGGATGAAAAGTGAAACGTTTTCAATGGGAAAAAAAACCCCAAGGAAGTCCAGCTGCTTTTTCAAAATACCTTTGGGACAACAATGACCTGGATGATTGAGAATCTCCATAGACATCATTGCAGTTGTAAATACCTGTTGTAAATAACTTCATTGAAAATAGTATTAGCATAAGTAAAAGGCTCTGCTGTCTTGTTTTCTGTGCAAATTGCCATCCTTGCAAAGCAAAATACACCTCCAGTTCAAGGAGGACTCCTTCACACTGGGACAGTGGAGAAGATAGAGCTTCCTCTTTCATGACAGCTTTTCCAGTCTGGTGCAATCCAGATGTGTTGGACTACCAATCCTATTATCCACACTGTCTAGCAATTCAATTGAAATGGAAGTTATGAGATTACAGAAAATTGACTAGAAAGAGACCGTGAAATGCCCAAATTTCAGCAGGAAGGCTACAGATATTGTCTGGTATAACATCAGAAAAGATCACCTAGCTGTTATTTACTTAGTAAATGAAACTAGGAAAATTTTCCTCCCATTGTACTTACCCAAGGAACAACAAGGATATTCTTGATTACATTGAGGGCTTGTTTGTATCCATGTAGTTTATGCTCGTTGATGTAGCGCACAGCCATATCTGCCCACTCTTTAGCTTCTTTGTTGTCACATTCTAAATCCCCCCTCACTTGAGAGCTAAGCGTAGATCCTATAGATCCTCCTGACCCAGGAGCACGAGAGCTACCAGGGAATTCATGGCTGGGTTCAGAGATAATGTACCAGGCACTAGTTGGAAAGAAGGAAGACTCCAGAGAACCTAACTTCAGGTGCTCCTTTTTATGGAATGTTTCTGTTCGCTGTCCCCCACTACCTGCCACTTGCATTTGCTTACCTGGGGAGATGCAATATTTGCAGAAGGTCCTGCAAACAAGAGGAAAAGAAAAATAAATATGTGGAGACATTGAGTCAAAATTTGATTAGATAAGGGGGAAAATGCAGATTGTGCAAAAAGAGAAAAACAACTCTCCAAGTCAGTCAGTCATATTAACCCCAGGATACCGCTGCAGTAAAGGGTATTTTAAGAATACAAAATTATATAGCAGCTATGCACAAAGGTAGTGTGATTTATACATATGGAAGACTTTCTGTCAAATCTCAACTCCATTATTGACCTAACTAATAGAGATTAAGTGCATCCTATTGACGTTGACTCTTCTAGGATGATCTATCTGTCCCCAGCCTGGTCCTGGAGGCCATCCACCATGGCAACTGTTACAGTTATAATCAAGTCCATCCATCTTGCTGCTGGCCATCCTCTTTATCCCTTCCATCTTTTTCGGCATTATGGATCCATTTGTTTGTTTCCTTGGCTACTCATAGTATTCTCTAGAGCAGGGATGTACAACTTTGGCATCTTTAAGACTTGTGGACTTCAATTAAAATTCAAATCAACATTTAGAAAAAATTAAAAGGTCCACCCATTTGCACATGATGTCTAGAAACCAAGTAATGGCAAAGACATTGGACTCCCAAGAGGAGACACGTACTTTGATTACCATAGGGGCAGCAGAGGCAGGATCTGCCCAGACCATGGGGAGCCAGATACCCATCCAAACCCTGACTGGCAACCACTGTGCTGGGGCTGGATACAAGAAACTATTTTTTTCAGGGATACAACCAGTGCCACAGGGGGAGGAAGACTACGAAAACTGGATGGAGCAGGCAGTACAGGCGGTTGAAGAATGGGATGTATCAGATGCTCAAAGAAACATGTGGGAGACATGAACTTGTTAGGTGGGTTAGTCTATGTAGACGATATCCTTGTCTTTGGTGAGACTTTTGAACAACATAAGGAGCGCTTGGAGAACGTTTTGACCAGGCTCCACAAAAAAGGATTGAAACTGTCATTAGAGAAATGCCAATTTTACCAAACATTTTGTCACATATGTGGATCATGTTGTCTTTGCAGAAGGGATATCAACTGATCCCACAAAGCTTGAGGCTGCCATTTCTTGGCCCAGAGCCCAAAATGTGGCTGAACTGCGATCATTTCTAGGGTTCTGCTCATATTATTGGAGGTTTGTTGAAGGGTTTGCAAAGATAGCCCGTCCTCTCAATGATCTGTTGAAGAATGAAGAGATAGAGGATGAGTCTGGTCATTCAAACCAGGTCCATCAGAATAAGGGACCCAGGAAGTCTCGAGAATCCATTGAGGCAGAGTGGACTGAGCAGTGTGAGCAGGCCTTTGACCAGTTGAAGAGGAGACTAACGAATGCCCCCATCTTAGCCTATGCTGAATAAAAATTCTTTAAGGTAAACAATGCCTCAAAGTTCTTTGAAGAGTTTCATCTGTCGGAACCATGATAGCCGCAATGATCATAAATGCGAAAAGCAGTCATAAATTACTTTTTCAGACTGTTGTAACTTCAAACAGTCACTAAATGAATTTTTGTAAGTCAAGCGCTATCTGTAATGAATTTCAAAATGTTATGTCAAATTCATCTGTCTCCTTAATAGCAATAGCAATAGCAATAACACTTAGACTTATATACTGCTTCACAGTGCTTTACAGCCAGCCCTCTCTAAGCTGTTTACACAGTCAGAATTTTTCCCCAAACAATCTGGATCCTCATTTTACTAACCTCGGAAGGCTGAGTCAACCTTGATCCAGTGAGAATCAAACTGCCAAAATGCTGACAGCTGGGAGTCAGCAGAAGTAGCCTGCAGTACTGCATTCTAACCACTGCACCATCAGGGCTCTTAATCCCTTTATAACTTTCCAGAATCAACATTTGAATTACCTTTTTGGTGTTTATTCCAAAATATATATTTAAAGTCCTTATGTCATGTTTCGAAGCACGGTTTTGCTAGTGTGATAAATATTGCTTTGCGGTTTGCCAATGAACTTGGGGGGAGGGGAGAGGTTTGGAATGCAAGCTTCAAAGATTAAGAAGCCACACCATGAGACTCAAGAACATTACACCAGATATCTGGCGAGACCTAGAGATGCTTTCTCATAATAATATTTTTCTACTTGATTGGGCAATGTGACCTGACCCAGAGGCATGAGGGAGAATTCAGTGCTTTTACTATATGGGTTTGGGAGGGGTCTTGCCAGAGCTGGTTTTGCTTTCATTAGTGCCAAAGTGATGTACTCAATAAAGTTTTACAATAAGAGATCAGCATGTCTCAAAGGTGTTTGCTTGGTTGGGTTCATCAGTGAGAAGTTAAACTTGCACAAACCTTATTTCTCAAAGACTGAAGGAAATTAACTTGGTGAATTGAAATTTTCCATTTGGAAGGTTTTTAGTATCCATAAAATTATTAAGCAATTTCCAGGAGTGATTAACAAAGGAAATCCAATTTCCACAAATGTGTCAGTTACAGTTTGGGCATAGAAGCCAAGGCAATTCCTTGATTCCTGCTGTTTTATGATCTCCTTGTGGGGAACTTCATTCTGGAGCATGTGTGGGGGATCCCAAGTCCTCTCCTTGTCCAGAGAGGAATTCTAAAAAGCTGATCCAGAAATTTGCGAAATATATCTCTAATATATAGAAATTATATTGTTCTATATTGTAAGCAAACATTATTTAAGTTATGTTCATATTTGGTATTTTATTGTACCAAGAAATCATTCTTGGCCAGAACAAAGTTGTGACAACATATGAAACAGGTGTGAATAAATCCAAATGTGTGAGTTTTCTGAATAATGAGCCTTAATGTGGCAGGATAGTGTACAGAATAATGGAGATTGACCTTGACAGAAATATGTAAGAACCATTTTCAAGCCAAAGAGGGCTGAAATGTTCTTTAAATTCTGGGAAGCAAGATAATATTCAGAAACAGCTGAGGCAAACAAGTGCCTCATTCACTGGGTATAAGAAGGAAGGGAGAATATATAATATGATCGGCAAGCTTGTTGTTGTTGTTGTTGTTATTATTATTATTTAGTTGCAAAGTCATGTCCGACCCATCGTGACCCCATGGACAACATTCCTCCAGGCCTTCTTGTCCTCTACCATCTTCTGGAGTCCATTTAAGCTCACTCCTACTGCTTCAGTGAGTCCATCCAGCCACCAAATTCTCTGTCGTCCCCTTCTTCTATTGCTCTCCATCTTTCCCAGCATTAGGCCCTTCTCCAGTGAGTCCTTCCTTCTCATTAGGTGGCCAAAATATTTGAGTTTCAGCTTCAGGATCTGGCCTTCCAAAGAGCAGTCAGGGTTATTATAGCCTATCTCTATTCCTGTGGAATTCTGGAAGTTAGAGTCCACAACTCTTATAATGGCCAATGTTGAGAAACACTTTCCTATCTCAATAAAGTATAGCTCCAGTCTTCCTGTGGAGTTGATTTGCTGATAATGGTCTACTTAGAGTAGCTGAGAAGTAGAAAATGGAATGAGTCTTGTTCAAATAACAGATCAGTTTACCATTATATATAACATGGGCAAAAAGAGTCAAAATATACTCAATGGGTTTGTGAGGGATCATCAGTTGTTTAAGCTTTAAGTTTTGTGATTGGACTGAAGAATAACAGAATAAAAGACTTGGAAGGGACCTTGGAGGTCTTCTAGTTGAACCCCTGTTCAGTCAGGAGACTTTATACCAGTGGTTCTCAACCTGTGGGTCGGGACCCCATTTGGGGTCGAACGACCATTTCACGGGGGTCGCCAAACAACGCAATCCGCCATTTTTTCCCCTTTTCCTTAGCTGTGCTACTCCCTTTTATTCTATTGGCTTTTGAAAGCCAATAGAATAGACTCTCTTGAATAGAGTCTAATTCTATTGGCTTTCAAAAGCCAATAGGAATTGTCCAGGCTGTCTCTGCCCTGCTGAGCCCGCCAAAAGTCCCATTCTGCAAACGGTGCTGCACCAGTTGAGTAGTCCTCGACTTACGACCGGTTGAGTAGTCCTCGACTTACGACCGGTTGGGGGTCGCGGCATTAAAAAGGTTGAGAACCACTGTTTTATAACACTCCGGACAAATGACTGTCCAACCTCTTCTTAACACCTCCAGTGATGAAGCACCCAGAACCTCTCAGCCAAGCCATCCTACTGATTAATTGTTCTGTCAGGAAATTTCTCTTTAGTTCTAGATTGTTCCTATCCTTGATTAGTTTCCATGTGTTGCTTCTTGTTCTGCCTTCAGGTGCTTGGGAGAATAGGTCGATCCCATGTCCTTTCCTAAAGGTGCTGAACTATAATTCCCAGAATTCTCATTCAGAGTGATTAAGGCCATCTGGCCACAAACGTAAAGCAAATCAAAGAGGAAGGCAATTTTAGAATTGAACAATTTATTTAGAAAGTACCCTCTGCTTTTTTCTGTCAGTATATTGGACTTTGTTAAACATTGCCCCTGTCAAATAATGCAGAATGGTGAAACATTCTAGGGAAAACAAATCTCGTAAGGAATAGAAGTGATGGGACTTTGGGGGTATTGTTGTCAAATGCTATGCATTTTCTCTTTAAAAGAAAAAAAAAGAATTTTGACTTTGGGACTAATATAACTTTTCTTCAACTTTCCTCTGGTTCCTTGGCTGAACAGAGAGAGGGACAGGAAGATGTTAAGTAAGCATCAGAATCTGCATTTGTATAAGCAGAAAGACACAAATACAAAGCCCCTTTCTTATAACAACCATGGGTGATCACAACACTTGGCAAAGACTGTAATGTGTCAGGGTAAACCCTTTTGGGATTCAAGCTTTGAGTTCAGATTTGGAAAACGGGTTTGCACCAACTGGGTGGTTTCTTGATGTTCTCTAGTATGGCTGGCCTACAGCTGGAAGTGATGTACTTTTCCTGGACAAAGCTTCACAGGGTGTGTGTGATCATGTGGTACATCTATTGGGACTTCTCTTTTGGCCACAGCAACTGGGACTTCCATCACATGTTCATGAGAATGAGACTCGTGTGAGGCGCTTGTATGATTGTGTGAATGGACGAGGTTGAGGACAGTACTGTTGTGTCCTGGGGAAGTACTATATTTTCCAACGTGATGCTCAATCAAATGGGAGTGAGCGTGTCCCTCCTGGAAAAAAAACAACACAAAACATGCAAGCACTGATGAGTCTTCTTCGGCCATTGAACCTGAAGCTTATCCTGCTTTGAACTTTCTAACTCATTAAAATCCAGCTTGACAAAGTGAATCAACAAAACCAACTGCTGTTAATATTGTCAATACAGGTAGTCCTCGACTTACAATCATTCGTTTAGTGACCCTTTGAAATTGCAACAGCCCTGAAAAAAACAACCTATGACCGTTTTTCGCACTTACGACCCTTGTAGCATCCCCATGGTCACATGATCAAAATTCAAATGCTTTTCAGTCAGAATCTATTTATGACGGTTGCCGTGTCCTGGGGTCTTGTGATCCCCTTTTGCAGCCTTCTGACAAGCAAAGTCAATGGGGAAGCCGGATTCACTTAACAACCGTGTTACTAATTTAACAACGGCAGTGTTTCACTTAACAACGGTGGCAAAAAAGACTTTAAAATGGGGCATAACAACAGTCTCACTTAGCAATAAAAATGAGGTTGTGGTCTTAAATTGAGGACTTGCTGTAATTTGGCAGTTGGTGAATGTTGGAATAGAAATCAAATGAATAAAATTGAAAAAGAGCAATTAGTCTTTCAGTTAACAGAACATAGAATAACAGAGATGGAAGGGATCTTGGAGGTCGTCTTCTTTATCTTATTGTAAGGCATATCACCAAGGCATAATATGTTATAACCACAGTTTGTTGAATGAATAGCCTGGCAATTAAGGGGCCAGAGTTGGACTGAGGCGATCTAGATTCAAACCCTTCCTGGCTAGATAAATTTCTGGGTAGCTCTGGGCCAGTTATTCTGTCTCAGCCCAATTTACAATCCAAAGTGGTGAGAGTAAAATAATAATCTGAGGGAAAAGAAAGTATATAAATAAAATAATCTAGTGTTTACATATCAGACTTTATTATATATCAGAGCATCTACTCATGTGAAGGGATGCAGGGGAATCGATAGCTGGAACAGGAAGTTAATTTTGAGCTGCTTGGATGGACGGAATGGATAAAGGAAACCAAGAGATAGGTGGACTTCAACTCCCAGAATTCCCCAGACAGCCTCCTGGCTAGGGAATTCTGGGAGTTCAATCTACACATCTCAAAGTTGATGAGGTTGACAAACAGTGCTTTGGAGAATAGTGAAAGAGGATGAACAAAATTGCATTTAACATACATACCTTGACATCAAATATGACACAGTCCGACTCAAACATTTCATCTTTAGGTTTTTCCAGGCTAGCATGCGACCTGAAAACAGTTGCTTTGCAGAATCCAATATGCTGGAGAAAAGGAGGGAGAGAAAGAAGAACTAAGAACCCAAATAAATCCTCCACATATCAGCAAACCTGAAATGGTGAAAGGACTGCTATGCAGGGGAGAAGATAAAGCTACTACTGAATGAAAGAATCCGGTCAGGTTACAACCTTATTTCTTAAAGTAAATCAACATCATATTCTTCTTCAGATGTTGGCAGGAGGTTTTGGGGAGGCATTATTTCTGGATGAATTGTGAAGAAATTAAGGTTGTGCAGAGGTTAAAGTGTAGGATTTGGGCTGGTGAGAGCCAGATTCAACTCTCAATTTCTCTGTGTGGAATATTTGGCCTTGCACACTTATTTGGAATGGGGTTGGGGTTTGCTAGGATAAAGAGAGAGAGAAAAATGGGAAATGCCCAGATAGGATTGGAGTTGACTCTCCCACTTACATTTTCTCCATCTGTATTAGGATGGCAGTGATGATGGTCATCGTGGGCTTCCTCAGCAGTGCAGTTAACCTCCACAATAGCAAACTCCACATAGAAAGCTTCAGGCTCATACTGAAATCAAAGCAAGAGACGTTTTAGCTGGGTTGTGGGTAGAAGTGACAAAATTGAAGAGGTGGGAGAAAGAATTTTAGTCCTGCCTGCTGCATATCCCATGGTCACCTGTGGTCACCTGTTCCTAATGAATTTTCCCACCTTCCTTTGGCAGAGGGAGAGGTAATTTGTGAGCCTCAGAGCCCATAATAAATAAGGATTTCCTAGCTTTTTATATGACTGTTTCATTGCTTCTGTTTTACTTGGTGGCTGTTTCTGTGTTTCACTTGGCTGGGTCTTGGCCGTAATTATATTTTATAAATAAAACGTCAGTGAATCCTTGTTCACTACAGTCAGAGGCTTGGAATCTAAATTTTAAAAAATTGGCTACAGCTCCTGGCTACAGCTCCTCTCCCTTTTTTCTTAGCAGCTGGTTTTTTGTGGGTCTTGGTGCTCGCTGAGCTTGGTTGTTTTCCTGCAGACATTTCACTACCCACACTAGGTAACGTCATCCGTTCTAGTCGATCATCTGTCTAGCACTGATGATGTTACCTAGTTTGGTTACTAAAATGTCTGCAAGAAAGCAACGAAGCTCAGAGAGCACAAAGGACTCCTCATTTCAATCCCGAGCAACAAATATTCTCCTTTGTGGGTATCTGGTTCTTTTCCTAGACTTTTTGCAGAGCATAATTCCTCCTGTCTCCTCCTCCTTTCTCTTAGTTATATGAAGTATCAAAACGTTAAACTGGAAGAGATCAACAGAGTTCCTTTTTAACATCTGCACACTTACTTTGTGCTGCCCTCTTGAAATCTCAAGAACTTCGTAAACGTGGCCGGAAAGTTTTTCATTGTATTTATTAAGCACATATTCAACAGAGTCTACCACGTGAGGGTCACTCAGAGACAACAGAATTGGACATTTAGAACAATTTTGCCGCACATCTTCCACAGAATCTGGAAAGAAATGAAATGTCAAGAAGGGTGTTTAAAGCAGACGGCAGTCTTAGCTGAGAACTGCTGCAAAAGAGCAGAAGACCCTACACCATTTCAGACAAACAGCTGTCCCATCTCTTCTTAAAAGCTTCTGGAAATTTCAGGCAGCAGGTTAAAAAAAAAGTTGGACAGCAGGTTAAAGTTATGGCTTTTGCAATAGGAGAGCATAAGTACAGGTAGTCCTTGACTTATGACCACAATTGAGCCCAACATTTCTGTTGCTAAACAAAACCTTTGTTAAGTGAGTATCCCCATTTTACAAGATTTCCTGCCACAGTTGTTAAGTGAATCACTGCCGTTCTTAAATTAGTCTCACTGCTGTTAAGTGAATCTGGCTTCCCCCTTAAATCTGAGTCAATTGCCAGGCATCTGAATTACAGCCATTCATTTAGTGTCATTTAGGTACAGCAGCACTGAAAAAAGGGACTTAATGATTGTTTTTCACACTTATGGCCATTGCATCATCCCCATAGTCACATGACCAAACTTCAACACTTGGCAACCGCCTCATATATAGGATGACTGCAGTGTCCTTGGATCAGGTCATCACTTTTTGTGACCTTCTGACAAGCAGTGTACATGGGGAAGCCAGAGTCATGCAGCAACCACTGCAGTGATTCACTAAACAACTGTCAATAAAGGTTGTAAAACAGCACAAAATTCACTTAGCAACTGTCCTGCTTGGCAACAGATTGTTTGGGCTCAATTCTGGTCATTAAGTTGAGGATTGTAACTATGTCTAGGTAGGCATTCCAAACTATTGTCAGATACATCGTCCCAATCCATCAAATAGTTTCTTTAATGGGACAGAAAAGAAGAGGGATTACCTGTTGTCCTACTTTCTGTGCTTATTCTGCTTCTGCAATGTACCTGAAAGGGTTCAAGTTGGAATAATCAAAGGCCACTCCCTTTTGAAATGTCAGTGAATTCAAACATGAATGGGGTATTTATAGACAAGATATGGGTCTAGATAAAATTTTGCTTGGTCCGGAAAAAAAAACAAATAAAGAATATTTACAAACACCTATTGGAGTACAGGCTATTTGAAAAACAGGTCAAAGAAACAATGGTGACATGGGCGATAGATCTAGGACACAACATCAGTTTGGATCAATGGCAGCAGGTGTGGATGCGAAATAATAAAATTACATTGGCGTCATCTTATAAAGAAAATTTGTATAAGATGATTTACAGATGGCATCTTCCTCCAGCAAGATTAGCCAAAATGTACAAAGGATACTCATCATTATGTTGGAAATGTAAAAAAGAAAGGGGCACATATTTTCATGTCTGGTGGTTATGTAAGGAAGCACAGAGATATTGGCGTATGGTTTGGGAATGGGTAACAGAAATGAGTATGGAAAACATCCAGTATAAACCTGAGACATTGTTGTTAGGAATTCTTGAAAATAATGTTAGTAAAGAAGATATGTATTTATTCACTCATGTGGTTACAGCGGCAAGAATTGTATTCGCTCAAAATTGGAAAGCTAAGGCTATACCTCGTGAGGAAATCTTAATTCATAAAATCATGCACTGCGCAGAATTAGATAGGTTAACTAAAAGACTCAAAAATCAGGAGGAAATGGATTTTTACCAAATTTGGAACAAATTTTATAGATGGTGGGGGAAAAAATATGGAAGTCATTGTAATGAGATAAGTTGAGATTGAGATTAGAGTGATGTTATTGTAAAGGTTTTTTTTCTTATATTAATAATTAATTGTGAATATGAACTGAGATGTACGTCAAATCTGATTTACCATGTTCAATGTTTTTTAATTTTTGTTATTCAATAAAAATATTTTTTAAAAAATGAAATGTCAGTGAATTGTGGTACATAAATAATGGATGGATGGATGGGTGTTGATCAAACTCTTTCTCTCTCTTTTTTTCTTCCCCTTGCTTTGTCTGTCTTTTTTCTCTCATTTTGTACTTAAATGTTTTGATGTTTTCTAATGTTCAATAGACTTTGAGCCATAATTTTTGCTGGTTGATCTGAATAATGATTGTTCCTTTTTTTAGATAAATTGAAAATTTTCCATAGCATGGAATGAATGAATGAATGAAGGAAGGAAGGAAGGAAGGAAGGAAGGAAGGAATGTCAAATGCTTTATTACGGTTGTGTAATTGGCTCCAGTCCATATCCATGCATCAAATTGATTTGAACTGTCAATTTGAATCAAATCCATCATTTCAATGGATTGAAAACAGCATTTTAATTTGTATTGCTAATCAGATTGAGAAAAAAAAGTTTTGTAGATGCAAAATAAACAGTTTGGAAGCATCCAATTCAGTAATCCACTCCATCTCATTAGATTGACTTGAATTGCCTTACAACTGAATTAAAGCAATGCATGCTTTGGATGAAACATCTCAGGATGCTGCTAAGATGCTGCTGAATTTTGAAGAAAGGCTGTGTGTGTAACTCACTTTCATAAAAAGTTAATAAAAAGGGATAGGAAAAGAGAATAAGCCAATGGTTAGCTCCGTGACACCTTAGTTTCAGCCCAAATAAGAGTCCAAGAGGCACGAAGTTGAATTACCTGGATCGGAGTGGCATTTCGCACCAATCACTTTGTCGACACCCTCATCGTGGAGTATCTTGACATCACAATCACCTCCAACAGCCTGGAGATACAAAAGCACCAAATTAATCACGTTACACTTTAACTTAAAATAATTTAGCTAACCATTTTAGGTTGGTGTTTTAAAATTGGTGCTTCTGGGGAATTTTTAGCATCACTAAGATTAATTATGGTCCATAACAATATATTTCATGTTTTTAACAGATAGGAGATTATTCAAATGAGCACTGTGCAGTAGTAACTTGGGCAGACTAATTTGTGAGGCACCCATCATTATGGTAGCTAATGCACTGTGGGTGGAATGTTGTCTGGATTCCCAGGAGGGAGGGGTTGCACTTCAGAGGAGCAAGAGACAGCAAAGTTTACATAGTTTGGTTGGGAAGAAGAGGATCAAGACAGCTCCTCCCCAGAAGTTCTGAGTATAAATTTAAGGACACACACAGTTTGCTTTAGTTTGGCATGATTTCTGTCTATAGGTAAGGAACAATAAGGGGAAATTGCTTTGCTGTAACTTAGCAGGTCTTTCTTGGTTTTCAGCTTGACATGCTTATTTTCTTCCAAACCATCTTATTGGTGTCTTTGGAGAAACCTTTCCACATGTTGTAATATGAGAACTTCTACTTGGCCAGTTCAGTATTGACAAAAATTGGCCAGTAACCTATAAACCTGGGATGACCAACCTTGGACATAGCTGGCTGGGGAATTCTGGGAGTTGAAGTCCACAGGTCTTCAAGTTGCTAAGGTTGGATCCCTCCTCTTTTAAACAGAGCAGCAATAAGGCACTTTTCATGGATTCCGGGATGGGAAGATGTCAGCTTGGGACATCACAGGATGAACGTGAAAGAAGAATTGACTTCTTAATTCCTGACTAATTCATTGCTCAGAGTTGAAATGAAATCTGGCTATGAAATGTGAACTCAAAATGAATGGCCATGGAACGTTAGCGACCCCTGAGGTTTCATTAATCCTTTGTACACCAATATATCAGAAATTCAATTTACTCTTAGTGCAGTGGTAAGAGGCCACCTGTCCTCCCACGGAATTTTACATTTTCAACAACTCTCAGACACTTACATGGTAATGCTGTGGCCTTACAGTACAATTCTCGACAGGAGTGGGATCCAACACGTGACATTGTGTCTCCAGAACTTTTAATTCAAGGAAGACTATTACCCCATGCGGTCTCTAAAATAAAAAAAAGTAGGATGAGAATGACTTTTCTCACTGCATTTTTCTGTCTCTGTTGCATCAGCTGTCCTTGGAAATGTTTGAATTGACACCTAAGTTAAAGACCTCGTCCTGGTATACTTCTCAGTTATCAATTGCTTTGAAGAAAATACACCCAAAAGGAAATTTCAATGCTGCCTTAAGTTAGACACAGTTCCTTTGGATGTTGCAAGGCAGACAAAACTGACATTTCCTGACATGAACATCTGATCTGCTCTGCCTGCGATATGAGGTTTTCTTGCAGACCTCAGTTAATTTCACAGTTGTTGGTTTTGGCCAGGTGTGGGTGGAAGAAAGTACCTCTTTCTGACATTGCATGGTTCACATATGTGCATACTGTCTATTCAACCACCAGCATTTTGGCTCCGAAAAATAGCATCAGGTAGTCCTGGCTGGTCTTCCTACAAATACGTAGGACAACCGTTTGGGACAGGGGTCTAATGAAGATTGGATGGTTGGGAGAGACCTAACATTTTTCTGCTTAACCCAGTTGCAGAATTAACCATTTCCTGGATTTCCATTACACATCGAACCATTAAATAACCCAAGGGGCTGGGCTGACACATCAAATTTAACCAGTCCTCACACCAAATTTTGCACAACCAAAATGAAATCACAAAAAACTTCTCTGAGCTGGTTAAGCATGTTGTCTGTGTGGTGCAGATCACAAGCTGACCATCCTCTCTTTCCCTGACAGCTGAAGAAGCAGCAGTCAGAAACATAAATACAAAATGGAATGGCTGGAGAAAAAGGTTGGACAGAGAAGTTCAGTGTACAGAACAGTTGTCAGTTCCCAGTAGGGGAAGGAGAAGAAAAATATTGTGGTTTCCTTGCAGACATTTCATTACCTGAATGAAGATAATGACCTAGGTAAGATCATCAGTGCACCAAGGATTTCAGAGTTGAATGCTGATCTACCTGTATTCTCTTCTGCTAGAAAAAAAAGTCCAGAGATAACTTCCCTGAAAGGAGGGAAGTGAAGACCCAGAGAAGGAACATCTTCACCCAAGATGGAGGAGACCAGCTGGCTGCAGATAGTATCGTCATGCAGTACCGAAGAGGATATGGAGATCGTTGGTTTTTGGAAAAGCCTTAGTCTTTGGGGAAGGATGGGGCAGAAGGCCCTGAGAAAGGTTCTCCCCCAGTAGAGAAGCAGTAGATGTTCTGCTGAGCTGATCTAGGAGAAGGTCAAACTGTGCTGAGTGCACTACTGTTAAAATCCAGCCCATTCCTTTCTTTTCACTCTCTCTGGACAAGCTGAGAAGTGAGGGAAGGAGAGAGTGAAAGCAGGAGGAAGCAGGAGAACTAAAGGGGAAGAGATGAACATTGTATGCTCCAGTTGTAATCCCAAAAGTGCTTTCCCAATAGGTAACTGGACTGTCTTGGTTTTTTTTTTTCCCCCTTGAAAACGTTTCACTTCTGATCCAAGAAGATGAAGAAGCTTCTTGGATAAATAGTGAAACGTTTTCAAGGGGAAGAAAACCCAAGAAAGTCCAGTTGCTTTTTTAAAAAGGACCTTTGGGAAAACCATGACCTGGATGATTGAGAATCTCCATAGACATCATTTCAGTTGTAAATAACTGTAAATCGTATTAGCATAAGTAAAAGCCTCTGCTGTCTTGTTTTCTATGCCAATCGCCATCCTTGTAAAGCAAAATACATCTCTAGTTCAAGGAGGACTCCTTCACACTGGGACAGTGGAGAAGACAGAGATTCCTCTTTCTTCAAAGCACCAGAGGGAAGGAAGAGAAACAATGATTGGAAGCTGATCAAAGAGAGAAGCAACCTGGAATTAAGGAGAAACTTCCTGACAGTGAGAACAATTAACCAGTGGAACAGCTTGACACCAGAAATCATGGGCGCTCCATCACTGGAGGTTTTTAAGAAGAGACTAGACAGTCTCTTGTCCGAGATGATATAGGTTCTCCTGCTTGAGCAGAGGGCCGGACTAGAAGATCTCCAAGGTCCCTTCCAGCTCTATTCTATTCTATTCTATTCTATTCTATTCTATTCTATTCTATTCTATTCTATTCTATTCTATTCTATATTCTATTCCTGTTCTGATGACTCTGGCAACTCAGAATAGAATAGAAACATAGCTAAAAAAGATTAAAAATCTTCTATTCGCCTTTTGCTAGATTTACAGGTAGTCCAACCATTTGTTTAGTGACCATTCAAGTTACAGCATTGAAAAAAGTGACTTACAGCTATTTTTCACAGTTATGATTGTTGCAATTCCATGTGGTCAAGTGATCAATATTCAGATGCTTGGCATGGTTCATATTTCTGACAGTTGCAACGTACTAGGGTTATGTGATTATCTTTTGTGACCTTCTGACAAGGAAAATCAGATTCATTTAACAACCGTGTTACTAACTTAACAACTGCAATGATTCACTTAGCAGCTGTGACAACACAGGTCATAAAAGTGGTCAAAACTCACCTAACAAATTGTCTTGCTTAGCAGTTGAGTAAATTTTGTGGTCAATTGTGGTCATAAATCAAGGATTATCCATATTATAACTAATTTTAGCATCTGCCTCTTTCAGAATCCTAACCTCAGGTTTGCAAAACCCAGTTCCTGTGTTCACTTAAGAATTTATGTCCAAACCAAAGAGCTTTTGTGTGAGTTTCCCTTTTTTCTAGTTTTGTGTCCCTTGGGACTTTAAGAGTCCACAACTGCATTGTGCAGAGATTAGAAAAAGGAAACTATGAAGATTCAGGATGAATGTTGATGGGGAGAGAAAGGGTGCTGAGTTGAGAACTGAAGGACAAGGTAGTGGTGCATAAAATTGCAAATAAATGGTTTGGTGGAGACTAACAGCCTTACAAGACTTCCAATGAAACGGAAGCTATGAGATTACAGAACATTGACTAGAAAGAGCCCTTGGATTGCCCCAATTTCAGCAGGAAGGCTACAGAGATTGTCTGGCATAATATCAGAAAAGATCACGTAGCTGTTATTTACTTAGTAAATGAAACTAGGACAATTTCCCTCCCATTGTACTTACCCGGGGAAGGACATGGATCTCGTTGATTACATTGGTGGTGTATTTGTATCCATGTAGATTATGCTCGTTGATGTAGTGCACAGCCATATCTGCCCATTTTTCAGCATCTTCGCCGTTGCAATCTACTTGCGACTGCAGGTGATGGCTAAACGTACATCCTATAATCTGACCCAGGAGCACGAGAGCTACCAGGGAATTCATGGCTGGGTTCAGAGATAATGTACCAGGCACTAGTTGGAAGGAAGAAAGACTCCAGAGAACCTAACTTTCAGGTGCTCCTTTTTATGGAGTGTTTCTGTTCGCTGTCCCCCACCTCCTGCCAGTTGTAATTTGCTTACCTGGGAAAATGCAATATTTGCAGAAAGCACTGCAAACAAGAGGAAAGAAAAGAATAAATATGGGGACATCTAGTCAAAGTTTGACTAAATGAGGGGGGGGAATGCTGATTGTGCGAAAAAAGAAAACCAAGTCACTCAGTCATATTAATCCCAGGATACTGCTGTAGTAAAGGTTATTTTAAAATACAAAATTGTATAGCAACTATGCACAAAGATAGTGTAAGTTATACACATGGAAGACTTTCTGTCAAATCTCAGCTCCATTATTGTCCTAACTAATAGAGATTAAGTGCCATCCAATTGACATTGACTCTTAGCAACCACTTAGATCTTTTCTAGGATGATCTGTCCCCAGTCTTGTCCTGGAGGCCATCCAACCTGGCAACCACTGCAGTTATAATCAAGTCCATTCACTTTGCTGCTGGCCACCCTCTTTATTCCTTCCACCTTTTTCAGCATTATGGATCCATTTGTTTGTTTCCTTGGCTACCCATAGTATTCTCTAGAGCAGGGATGTCCAACTTTGGCAACTTTAAGACTTGTGGACTTCAATTCCCAGCATTCCTCAGCCAGCATGACTGACTGAGAAATTCTGGGAGTATCTACCATGTGAAGTGGAAAGTTGGGAGACTGTAGAAATAACCCCAATTAATATATTAAAAGCAAATTTAAAGTTAGTGACCAAGCTAAGAAGTTGTATTGTAGATTCCAGACAAATAAGTGGAAGAGGCTTAAGTCAGCTTGTGCTTATTCTGCAAAAATGTGCAACCCTAGAAAGAAAGCTCAAGCCACAACACTCATAATTCTCCTAGAAAGCTAAGCCAGGAGTCTCAAACTTGGCAATTTTTAAGGCTTGTGGACTTCAACCCCCAGAATTCCCCATCCAGCATGACTGGCTGAGGAATTTCGGGAGTTGAAGTCCACACGTCTTAAAGTGGCCAAGTTTGGAGACCCCTGAGGTAAGCCATAAAACTCTAGCCAAGCCGAGTATTGGTTTTATAGCTGATCTGATCCATATAGTTAGTTTATTATGTAATATCTTGTATGAACTTGGAAAATGTAAACAGGCATACCAGATAAAACTGCTATATGCAGTTCAAGAGGCCTAGAATCTATAGGTTTTGTCAGAATGATGGAATACATGTTGTGACATCAGAAAACGAACATCGCTGTTTACACATTGATTGTGATATATCAAAACATGTAACAAAATTGATGGGCTTTGCGTTGCGATACCACAATATTTCTCCTTTTGTCCTCTTTGCCATTCTCATGGATGTTCCTATCCATGGTTCTATGTCATCCACAAGAATTTCCATCAAGAGGTTTTACTAATAATCCAGGCCAAGGAATTCTAGGTGAAATTAGAAACCAGAGATGAATACTCTCCTGGATTAATAAAGAAAATAACATAATAACAAAGTTGGAAGGGACCTTGGAGGTCTTCTAATCCAGCCCCCTGCTCAAGCAGGAGACCCTATACCATTTCAGACAAATCATTGTTCAATCTCTTCTTAAAAACCTCCAGTGTTGGAGCACCCACAACTTCTGGAGGCAAGTTGTCTCACTTAGTTTTTGATTGCTTCTCTCCTTGATTAGTTTCTATCCATTGCTTCTTGTTCTGCCTTCAGGTGCTTTGGAGAATAGCTTGAGCATAAGCATGTCAAGGACTTCTTATTTCACTAAGAGATCTTCCCTAATTTTAATGAAACATGGAGCTCTGGAGAGCACATTATGTGACATAAAAAGGGAAGATTTTTCCATTTTGGACAAGGACATCAAACAGGTTCAAAGTCAAAATTAGGGTGAACGAACCAGGCTTAAATCAGCAGAACTGCTTGTCTGAAAAATAGCCAAAGCTAACATGTCTTGATAAAATAGTTTACAAGTTCATGGACAGATAGTTGCTGCGGTCATTCCCAACATCAGAGTCTGTCCTCTTCCTTCTGCTGATTCCACAAATTTATATCACCCACCTCCCTTTCCTATTACAGATAGTCCACAATTTATGACCACAACTGAGCCCAAAGTGTCTGTTGCTAAGCAAGACAGTTAAGTGAGTTTTATTCCATTTTACGGCCTTCCTTGTCACAGTTAAGACAATCCCTGAGGTTAAGTTAGTAACATGGTTGTTAAGTGAATTTGGCTTCCCTGTTGACCTTGTTTGTCAGAAGGTCGTAAAAAGGGATCACATGACTCCAGGACACTGCAACCGTCATAAATATGAGTCAGTCGCCAAGCATAGGAATTTTGATCACCTGCCCATGGGGATGCTGCAACAATTGTAGGTGTGAAAAACAGTCGTAAGTCACTTTTTTTAGTGCCATTATAACTTTGAACAGTCACTAAATATGTGTATGTATGTGCATATATGTGTGTGTATGTGTGGATAGAAAGAAAGACAGACAGACATACATATGTTTTTAAGGGGTTGCCACAAAGAAGATGGGGTTAGCCTATTCTCCAAAGCACTTGAAAGCAGGACAAGAAGCAACGGATGGAAACTAATCAAGGAGAGAAGCAACCTAGAACTAAAGAGAAATGTCCTAACAGTTTAAAACAATTAATCAGTGGAATGGCTTGCCTCCAGAAGTTGTAGGTGCTCCATCACTGGAAGTTTTCAAGAGGCATTGAATAGCCATTTTTCCAGAATGGTATAAGGCCTCCTGCCCTGAGCAGAGGGTTTAACTAGAAGGTCCCTTCCAACTCTGTTATTCTGTTATGTTTAAATTTGCAGAGTACAGTATATCATGGTTTCTTTCCGTGGCTGGGCTCACATCTTGCACTAAGCTATCATGACAAGGGCATTTGTTGTGGGGGAACAAAAGGAGAGCAAGGAATGACACGTACTCTGTGTCAATCCAAATGACAACCCCATGAGTTGCAGATGAAAGTGTAGTGTGAGACTAGGTTATTGCCACCAAAGGCAGGAACGTAATGAGGGTAAACAAAAGCCAAGAATCTTGTCTCATATACCCCTTAGGGGGGAAAAGTTAAGAAGCAACCAGGTCATTAAGGAAATAAAAGAAAATGTGTTGTCTGAACCAGACAAAGAAAGTTGGGCCTGAGCACATGAAATCTCTCCCTCCCAAATTCCTTCAATAGCTACCAGAGTTGAAAATCAAGAAGGCCAGAGTAGCTGCCAGTCTTGTGAATCTGCAGAGCAATTATTTTGGGGTATAAAAGGGATCCTGAAGCCCACTCACTCTTTTGAGTCTCTTTGGATCCAAACCTGGTAGCTTCTATCTGGCTAGTGCCTGGTGTTGTTGTTCATCCATCGATTTTCGATGAAGACCTTGACATCTTGTGGGTTATGGGACATCAACGATGTGTCCGTAGGTGGCTAATAAGACCGATGTTAGCACGGAATGTTCTGCCACATACTGAACAAAGAAATGTAGACACTGTTACTTCAGCATTTACAGCTCTGGCCAGAGCCAGAGCTGTAGTGCCTGGTAGTCTAAGTGAGAAGGATGTGGGTAAGGATGGATGAGTGTGCATATATGTTTGTGAGAAAGAGCAAAGTATATTCCAGCAAGTAAAATTTTGCTGTTACAATACCTTAAATTCACTGGGTCTCCTATATTCCAAAGAACCTATTGGGCCTCAGTGTTCAGTTGGCAGTGACTTGTGTGTGTATCCATGGACCAGGGCTGGGCTGTGTGTCTTGTCTGCTCTAGCTGCAATTTTCTCGGAAAACCCAGATACAAGACCTTTGGATTTCTTCCCCCATGCACAACTTTGCTCCTTTGCTTCCATCTTGATTAATTCCATTTTATCTGAATTTTTCTTTTTTTTAAAAAAATTATTGTTTTAAGATTGTGTGTTGTATTTTAATTATATGACTATAAGCCATCCGGAGTTGGCTCAGTGAGATGGGCAGCACAGAAATTTAATCATAACCTGGGTGGTCAATACATTTTATAAAATAAATAAATAAACAATAAATAAAAATAGTGAAAAGGGCCATACATGAATATAATTAAGGCTATTTGCTCCTTCTTCCCGTTTACCCCCAGAACAACCTGAGGAAGGTTAGATTGAGAGGGAAAGATTGACCCATAGTCACCCAGGGATGTCCTAAAATGTTGGTCTTGGTGAAACGGGAACCTAATTTTGCTCGTTCCTAGTCTAGCTTCTTCATTATTAATTTTTGAACTGACATGGGGTCACCCAGAAATCTCACCTCCCCTAGATTAACTTCTTAAATTCTATGATGGTGGTGGTGGTGGTGGTGGTGGTGATGATGATGATGAAGATAATGGTGATGATGTTATCCATTCTGTTGTGTCCAACTCTTGGCAATTCTGTGGGCTAGGTCTCTCCATGACTTCTGATCTTGCATTGCTTTGAGATTTTCTGTGCTCTGGCTGGTGTCAACTTTGATGGTGTCCAGCCACCATGTTCTTTAGTGACCTGGTTCTCTTTTACCGCTAATTGCTCCAAACATAATTTCTTTTTTCAGGGAATTCCCCTACATGTTTTGGCCAAAGTGAGACACAGTTTCATGATTTTGCCTTCCAGTGACAGGTCTGGTGTTATGTGCTCCAGGGCTTGCTTGCTAGTCACCTCTGCTGTCCAAGGAATACACGGGAGCCTTCTCTGGCATTTCAGCTCAAATGAGGCAATTTTCTTCCTTTTTGCTTTTCTTGGTTCTCAGGTTGAGAGAGAGGGGATGGCCCAGAGATATCCAGGGACCATCTATGGTTGGATTCTTCATATGTTTTAGTTTGGGTAAACTAACTAAACTGAAGCTTCTTCCCAGTTCAATATCTTTCCCACAATTCTGCACTGCTTCTTGGAACAGAGAGAAGAAGGGGCTCCAAGTCACCATGCCAATTCCACCTTTTTTGTGTACATGTCACAACATCACATCCATGTTCAAAAAAGGGCAAGACTTGCATGGCAAGATCACAATTTCTGTTTTGGCATTTTTA